TCTGCTTATGACGTCATGGCTATAGAGTAGCAGGATGTGAGAGAGCCATGGAGAGTGAGAAAGATGAATTGGAGAGAGATTGGCGGGGGCAACGGGGGAAGGGGGGCGGGCATTGTACAGCTACATATCTTGTGGCCTACTGACCTTCCGTTCACCGGTTCTGGTGCATTCTGTCTGGTCTAGGATGATCCCACTAAAGTTGTAACATAATGAAGTCTGTCAGATATGCAGAGCCGTGGTATATCATTTGGGCAGGTAAACCCTCATCTGTTTCAAGTTTCCATTGGCGGGTGTGTCGGGAAGGTGATAGCTGCACTACTGACGTAAAGCATGTGACATCACAGAGTAACGCACACTGCTCATTTATTGAACAATTGCAAAATGGGGAAACAAAAACACACAGGGGATACACCTTTTCCACGTGAGTATTCTAGCCATTGGGTTGTTCATTAGTACCGTACCAGAAATGCTGAGTTTGCTAAAATTGTTTCGTGGTCTTCCAAATGAATTTCTGGCTGGAATAGTGAATCGTGTTAGGCTTTAGAGCACAGGTGTCAAGCTCTGGTCCTCGAGGTCGGCTTTAGAGCACAGGTGTCAAGCTCTGGTCCTCCAGGTCCACCATCCTGTATGTTTCCCTCCTCTAACACACTTGATTCAAATGATCGGCTCATCAGCAAGTGCTGCAGGAGCCTGATCACGATCCTGATCATTCCAATCAGGTGTGGAGGAGGAGGGAGACATCTAAAACATGCAGAATAGTGGCCCGCGAGGAACGGAGTTTGACATCAGTGCCTTATAGGCTAGAGACGTAGAAAATAACTCATCGTACCATTTTTTTCAAAAAAAAAAAAAACCACCCGATTTACATGATTTTTTTTTTTTTTTTTGCAAATTTTTAAAAACACATCACTACGTGCCCATTTTCAACAACTCATTCGTTGGCCAAATTGTCATTAGTTGATAAATATTTACTTTTGAATTGTCTTTTTTTCTGTCATTGTTCATACTATCGATCCTATCCAAGAATTTTGAGATGTGCAATTTTTTGAACCATTACAAAGGATGGTGCGAACTTGTCGTACAATCTGGAGCAGAAATCACAGGAATTTGGCCATGTTCTTATCCGTACCCAAAACTTTTCAAAACCTCAGATTGCAGGTAAAATGCACCCAAAGACTTCATGTTTGGTCTCATCTCTTTCTGAATATTGCCTGTATGTCTTTGCGGTCTGTTCCACACTGCCTTTTTCGAGACAGAATGGTGAGAAAATCTCCCTGGAAGAATGACCCTACTTTGAACCTTTCCTTGCTTTGACAGATTGCTGTAACGTGAGCCTTTCATTTCAGTGGTTCTCTCACTCGTTTTAATGTGTTTTGTCTTTCACCGTAAATAGACTGCTGTAAAAAAGATCAAGTCCAGCTCCATCAATGTGATTTGATGTGTGCATTTTGTGTATTTGTCCACTGTGGTGTCACTGATATAATTGGTGATTATATGGGGCCCATTTGTGAGATAAGGTTTGCTTTACTGGCGATAAAAGGGGCGGCAGAAAGAGACATTGTTTTGGCCAGATGTGTTGTCAAAGACAGGTCTAACAATTAAGTGGGTCATGGCTCTGTGTGTTCCACAATTGTTCCCTTTTTTTTAAAAAAAAAAAAAACCACCCGATTTACATGATTTTTTTTTTTTTTTTGCAAATTTTTAAAAACACATCACTACGTGCCCATTTTCAACAACTCATTCGTTGGCCAAATTGTCATTAGTTGATAAATATTTACTTTTGAATTGTCTTTTTTTCTGTCATTGTTCATACTATCGATCCTATCCAAGAATTTTGAGATGTGCAATTTTTTGAACCATTACAAAGGATGGTGCGAACTTGTCGTACAATCTGGAGCAGAAATCACAGGAATTTGGCCATGTTCTTATCCGTACCCAAAACTTTTCAAAACCTCAGATTGCAGGTAAAATGCACCCAAAGACTTCATGTTTGGTCTCATCTCTTTCTGAATATTGCCTGTATGTCTTTGCGGTCTGTTCCACACTGCCTTTTTCGAGACAGAATGGTGAGAAAATCTCCCTGGAAGAATGACCCTACTTTGAACCTTTCCTTGCTTTGACAGATTGCTGTAACGTGAGCCTTTCATTTCAGTGGTTCTCTCACTCGTTTTAATGTGTTTTGTCTTTCACCGTAAATAGACTGCTGTAAAAAAGATCAAGTCCAGCTCCATCAATGTGATTTGATGTGTGCATTTTGTGTATTTGTCCACTGTGGTGTCACTGATATAATTGGTGATTATATGGGGCCCATTTGTGAGATAAGGTTTGCTTTACTGGCGATAAAAGGGGCGGCAGAAAGAGACATTGTTTTGGCCAGATGTGTTGTCAAAGACAGGTCTAACAATTAAGTGGGTCATGGCTCTGTGTGTTCCACAATCAATTTATTAGAAAGCCCAATCAGCTTTTTACTGTACATTAGTTTGTAGCCACCATCTGGTAAATGTGCTTCTGCATTGATCTACAATCTGGTCGGTTGCAATTGTAAACCAATCATCAAACGTTAGCCCTATCATCCAATTTACAGTGGGTATCACATGACACAAGATGGGTGAGGTGAAACAGCCTGGCGAGCCCAAACCCGCTTTCTTTCTACACAAAAGAAATGGATCTGGACAGCCCGCTTTTGACCCCGGCTCAGTCCCGGTTCAAAACGAATCCTGCAATCAAATTTGTTTATTTGTTGGGACATATTCTTCATGAGCAACAACGCTCTTTGGCGGCGCAAGTCCATCCTCATAACATTCAAAATGATGCCCGGGAGGGATGATAGCTTGTCTCATTCAGCATGAAACTCAGATTTAAATGACCAGAAACACACTATCATCTGACGGCACTGGAATTATTATTCCAAGACATGTTTGCCTTGCTTCCCACGACTCCAAGTTGCTGTTCTGACAGTCAGATTGGCTCTTCGCTAATTGGTTCGTTTCACTGTCTGTTTGCTCAGGTTTTCCTTGATGCGACTGTACCAGCAATTGAGTCTGGATTTCCAGGCTTGAGGTGAAAGGCCAGTTGATTAGTTCTTCACAGAGGCTAACCTAATGCGTTTTTTTAAATAATAAAGCGGGAAATCAACATAGCTACCACAAATACATAATCACACATTAATCATGATTATTAACCTCCAAATTCATAACGCAGACAAAAAGTATTTTCATTATTTGTGAAAATTATCTATTATTATTATCTATTATTAATCCTTGTCAGGCCAGTTTTTGACATAGTTGGCCGCCCTGTACCAACCCAGCCCAATTGGTCATGCGCTCTCATTTATTACCTGGCTCAATGTTGATTACCTCCTCTGAAAGGAAGGCCTGGTACAATATTTGTGACTGGGAAAGCGGTAAAATCAGGAGAAAAAAACTCCTGATTTTACCGCTTTCCGACGTCAACAGCAGATTGTCTCATCTTTGAGAAGATTATTCCTTGTGGTATGAGGTGTGTTAAGAGTGAATGTGCCTCGATATTAGGGTCTGAAACAGGTGGGGACCAATGACCTTAGATTAATCATGTTCAATATTCATGATAAAAAAAAAATGTTCCTGATTGTGGGGAAAGTTGATTTCAAATGGATGACTAGCCCATGGAGATGCGGGTAGTCCGAAAGCGCCTGTGTAACATTTCGGAGCACACCATGCACAGTATGATCAAAAATTTTGAATCCCAGAATTTTTTTCTGTGTGGGGTCTGTAAGAGATTTAAAAAAATGCCTTACGATTTACAAACACTGTGTGGACTGGGCCTTAAAGTTTCAGGAAGATAACTTTTTCCTCTTTTGTCATTTTCTGCTGGCATCCTTCCGTTTCTTTTTACCACTGCTGTGGCACTTCCAAATTTCAAAGTTACAAAGGTTATCCAATTTAAAAGTTCACCACCATACAGTATTTCAAGAAGTGACTGGAACAACAGATACTGTTTGATGTTGGAGATTCCCCTCTATTTGCTTCATGCTGGTTGGCATTCACACTTCAAAACTCTTCACAAAATGAGAGACATGCTGTAATTGGCAAGAAAATTACATTTTGAAACGATTTCAAAACCCTTAGGATCAGCGTGTTGAGGTTTCCAACAATTTATTCATGCACATAATGTCCAATAACTCACTGATAGTGTAGTGTTTCACTTGGCTTCCAGGCAGCCTATATGGGATTGGTTCCCACTCAATGAGTCTGCGAAGGGCTGCAGTCTTTATGTGACCTGTAAGTGATTGGCAACAATTCAGAGAGTAGTCTGCCTTTGGCCCACAGGTAGTTGTTATCCCACTCCAGTTCTCAACAACTCTGAACAGGATGAGCAGTAGAGAAAATGGATGGATGCTCGATAATAGAAAAACTTAATTCAAAAGTTCGGTGATCATTCTGTGGGGAGATAGGTGTGGTTCTAAACGTCTGTTGTGTGAATGTGGACGTCTGCACTTCTTTGTGAGGCAGGTCTGTGTGTGTGTGTGTGTGTGTGTGTGTGTGTGTGTGTGTGTGTGTGTGTGTGTGTGTGTGTGTGTGTGTGTGCGTGTGTGTGCGTGTGTGTTGCCAGTATTGCATCCTCAAGGGAAAAAGTCTCTGTGTGGCGTGTGTCTAACCATTTTCACTGAGAATTCGGATCATTTATTTTCTCAAATTAGGGTCAGTCACATCGGTCAGGTCATCAGACATCTTAAATTGTCTGATCACCTTTCGTTCAGTGCTTTTATTACCAAATCCAGCAAGCTAAAATCTTTGCCATCTTTCAAGACTTAACTTTTTATTGAAGGAATATTGAACTGCAGAGTATTCTATCAAAACGGATCTTTTTTTTTTAACTTTGTGGAACTGTAGGTATACGCAAGCATGGATAATTCCCTGCTTATGTCGAGTGTTCAGGATCTTCCATCCGAGGAAGCATTAAGTGTTCTATTTGTTTTATTGCGCTGATTTCCTCAATTGTCTCTATCACTGCCGTTTTAGGTGCAAAAGATGCAGCTTCGGAGCTATGAATCCACATCTCAACGTTGTATAGTGATGACTCCTCTGAAGATGGTAAGCAAAAGAAACGTGTGTCTGGAGTTATGTGATATTTTCACTGTATCTATGAATTTTAAATTGAGGAGACATCAAATACTGTCAGCCCATTTCAAGTCATACTATGGCTGCTATGGGCACTTGTCCCCGTGCCAGATAAATTGGATTTTGACAAGGCCATATCATCTGGGCAGGAAAAACAATGAAAGCTAGGACTTTCATGTTTCCAATAATGTCCTACACCCCCAGGATCATATCTTCCCTGTTGTTTTTGCTGACATTTGGCAAGATGCAGACTCAGAGCTATGATTCTGTAAAAATGTCAGCTTGCCCAGCACTGTCTCTGCCTCATTATCTCCACTACTGCCAAGTCCCCATGCAGAAGTGAGCGACGAGATAAAACCGTTTTTAAAATAGCGACATCATTTTAGTAAAAGTGCAGGTGAGATGCCAAACATCAGTCACAAGTAAACGAGTGTAGGGTGGAGGAAAAGGTGAAAATCTACGGGTTCCGTTTTAGTCGATTGCCGCGTTGTTTTGAGTTCTGTGGTCAAATTATATGCTGAACTCAATTTTTTTTTATCCCTGAAAGAGGTCTTGACCATTGTTTGATTGTGTAATTGGTGCGTGCATGTGTGTTTGGTAAAATGCATGCTTGACATGAGCTGAACCCTGAACCTCCAGCAGTGCAAAGACTTGGCTAAGGCAGAACATTGCTGTTGGCAGGCTATTGAGGAAACAGCCAGGATGCCGGTGTGGGGGTGTGTTTGTTTTGCTGTGTGTTTCTAAGTGTGAACTTTATCTTGGTTTGCTTTCAGCTGGATGGAAAAATAGAATCTCCTAAATAATCAAGCCCAAATCACAAAAGTTGCATTGCGACTTGGTTAATTTTTGTATACTTGAAGAATATGTGCTGTAATGAGTGCATAATCGAGGGTGTGGAATGTATGAATGACAAATGTGCGCTGATCCCCCACTTTCCCGCCCTCAAGAACTCTCAAGTGCATCAGTAGAATTCCATATTTTACGTTATTATATTTTATTCAGTCAGGGCTGTATTCTCCTGTTCACATCCAAGTCTTTTTTTGCTTTATTTTTGCATCTGGGCTTGCTCACTTTTCATCTACACACATTAGTCTGTCCAGACTTCTGATACACCCAGTATATTTAGTGATGACTAGATGCATGTTTCAAGGTCCAACAATAAAAAAAAAAAAAAAAAAAGATGAAAAACTCAGCTGGCGCTGATATTAATCACCAATAAATATCACAACCAAAATGCAGTGAAACCGACTCACAGCTCCTCTTTGATCAGCTTGTTTAAAATATTTTTTGCCCAGTCTCCATTTATTCATTTGACAGCTCTCCAAAAGTGTCTTAGAAGGCTTGACAGCATTCTTTTGTACAATTATACATTGTAAAACGTGTGTGCAATCTGATATTCCACCTTTGTGAGGTCCTGGACTTAATATACCCTATGGATGGTGCAAGAGGAAATGTGTGTACGTTGATGAGAGAATAATACCCAGATGACCAGATTTGACAAAGAATGCCCACATTTTACGGTTTCTGTACCCAATACATTCCATATAGTACAAGAGCACTCTCTAACCCCTAAAAGTCAACACCCAGGCAATCATGTATTTCGATCTTGGGCATATTTTCTAGAAAAATCTGATTCTAAAGTTGGATGAAAAACTGAGGTGAACTGCCATCATGCATGATGTCACTCAAAACAGGGTATGAAAACTCAGAATCGCATGAAGCTACAGCTAAGTTTGATTACTTCAATTTGTTTTATGTCCAATGCAGTCATTGTGCACAGAGGTTCCAGTGTATTCGTTCTGAAAGTGGTCTTCAGGCCGGAGATATTTTCATGAGCCTCTTTCATTGGATTTGTCGGTAAAAGCTACTTAAGACATGAGTACATGTATGCAGTCACGATCACTGGGACTTTGATGCAGGTCAAAGATTTTCAAATGATTTAAGATGCATCTCAGATTCATTCGTTGGACTCAGGAATCCCGATTACTCTCCTATCATGGCAGTGTGTGAGCCACCCAGCCTTGTGTCTCCAGATTTGCAGCCAATGCAAGTTTCACCACTATTAATATTATTTCAGACAGAGTTTCCTCCAAAATAATTAATCGACTCATAAAAAAAAAAAAAAAAAAAAAAATCACCACTAAGTCTCTGTTTATGTAGGACCAAGAGGAGACAGACATTTTAAGCGTAATAACAAGAGAATGTGGCTTAGTTCTGACATCAAAAGGAAAGTCACATAAAACAACATGATCACGCAGAGGATTTCCTCTTCTTCCAGAAGACATAAAAACTGTGAATGATTACTTGTCAAGACATATCAAGTTTTAGTGGGAAGTGTCAAACCTCCGTATATCTGTCAAGTGGACGCTCCGGTAGCTATAGCGTTAAGCCAAGAAAAGGAAATAGGCCTGATATTGTTGAGTAGGAACATTTTAGGTCTTGTTTGAAATACAGTAAGATGTGTATCAGATTTAGTGTAAACTCATCTGTTTATATATACAAAAAGATGCTCAGAAGAGTAGCTTTAGCTGTCTTGTGAGTGGTTAATGCACAGTCTCAATGAGGGCCCGACTGATATCGATTTTTTTTTTTTTAAGGATGATGCTGATTCGGATATTCGGCTCAAGAAACGGCAAACTGATTTCAGATTAATTTGCCGATAAGATAAAAATGTATCATGCATGAAAAAACATCTTTACTCTCCTTTTTGTCTTTTTTTTTTTTTTTTTTTTGGCTGGCTGGTGACCATTTCAAGGTGTACCCTGCTACTTGCCTAAAGTCAGGTAGGTTAGGCTCCAGCAAACCCTGCCTACTGGACAGAAAACATCCCAACGGGAATATGTGGTTGTACAACCTCTTTTCAAAAAATACAGTGACGTGCAAAGAATTACTTGAATAGTGCTTCACGTAAAATTCAGGAATACTTCCCATTGAACCTCAGTTTTCGCAACACAAGTTGGTCATTTTGTTCTATGCAAGGCATCGTTTTATCACACCACGTAATGATGTGCACAGTGATATAGTGGACCTAAAATCGGCCTGGGAATATTTGTTGACGGGGTGGGGTGAAAGGCGGCGGTCACGTGACGAAAAGTAATTGAGAGGGGTGGGGAGCGGGGGGGTTGTTTTATCTGCCCTGAAATGGACCGGCTGTTTGGGAATCTCCCGAAATTCCCGATGGCCACTACTCCCCTGGACGTACATGACACAAAGAGGAAGAAGAAAGAAGGTGTGAAGAAGAAATCCGGCATCATGTCGAATGAAAACTGTAATACTGTGTGCTCAGTCGTAAATAACAGCATATTAAAAAAAAAAAACAACTGACACGACTGATTGTTGAGAATATTACACACCAAACAAACCAGAATATCTGGTGCAGGCCCAGACAGCTACTCCCTGTCTACTGTCAAACTCTTTGCGGTCATCGATGGCGTTTATCTGCGGTGATCAGTAATGAAGATGATCACGTAACGAAGCTAGATGCTCCACTTGAGAGGCACTTTCTCTTCACATCAGTGATCAGCGAGCTATTGTTACAAATGCACAAAGCGCATCAACTGCTGTGATGCATCCAGCAGCAGCCCAGCTCAGTGACATTGGTAGTGGCAATGCTCCCATAAAAGGCAATGCATGTACATTGACAATAGATTGGAAGGTGCTCATTTCTCTTTCATGTTTTGCTTTGTTTTCGTCAATGCTAAACCATGCGCTGTCAATATAGAACATGCATCCTTGATATTTTAGTTTGTGCTGTTCATGCACTTGGAATGCGCCAACACCTTGCCCGCGTGAGCTTTAATGTTGTCGTAGCTACGTACAGTATATCTATCTGTTGGTTATATCAATGGTAATGCCACTCTGTTCCCACAATACATTGTACAATGCATTGAATTATTGAAGTTATAAGGACATTAATCCTTGTCATACATGTTTTTCAAAATATTGCCTCTTGTTAAGAAAGACATTTCAAAATACGAAAGGTAAAATTACAGTACGGGCCGAGACTCTCAGCTCCGAGTTTCTTGAACGCAACATACTTCTAGCTGCTCTGCCATTGGCTATTACCGAGCATCTTCCTGGCATCCCACTGGCTAAGAGCGACTTCTACCATATGTGTCTGTGTGTGTAGAGAGATAAATAACTATGTGTCTATGCAGCATCCTCGTCATTCGCACCTCGGGCCATGAGGCGTTCTGATAGTTTTATGTAAATGTGAATCACACAGAAAAAGTGTTCACCAGTCGGGCGATCGCTCACTATGCTGATGGTTGCCTTGGATATTTTCGAAGGCTTGTTAAAAGCCGACAAAAGCAAACGTCCTTGGATCAGTTCTTTCCAAAATGCTGGGCAAAAACCACTTCTGAGAACATGAATTAAAGAGGGCCAAAACGATGAAGACACAGTTAAAAGTTAAATGACCATTAGTTTTATTCTTTACTCTATTCTTTGTTTTTTTACATTCTGCACAACTTTCATTTATTGTGCAATAATCTAATTGCAACACATATTTGTTACATATTTTGATGCATTTTTATGCTTTAGACAACATTTATGTCTGAATTTTGGGAGAAGAGGAGGGGCGTGGAACAGATTAGGGCATTTACATGGAAAACGCGTCTCTTCTTACAAAATTTTCTAGTTTTTAAATTTCTTCCAGAACCAAATAATTTCGAAAGTAGACGCACCACTGTATCTGTTTACAGTGTTTCATATGGTTAGGCTACATGAAGGGACACGCAAACATTGTTCATGATTTTAGGAAGGCTATAATAGGCCGATTTAATCAGCAGGTCGCTTGAGTGGTCAGTCTCTATTCTCAAGTATGATCTAGCCACGAGTCTCACCATGTTGAAAAGCCCTAACCACTGAGTTGATAAGTTAAGTGGTACTTCTGACACGAGACTATGCAATTCACTCTGCGGTCGGCAAATTGTCATTTGATGGCCTGACAGGGATTATGAAAGTCGGAAAAA